AGGGGAGAAGGGCTTCGGCCAAACTTTTTAAAGAGGGGAAAGTCGCCCGTCTAACGGGCGACTTACCTTAAATGTAAGTCGCCCGTTAGATAGGCGATTATGCCTAGTTTTAAATTTTTATAATGCTTAATCCCTTAATTAAGACTTTAATCATGCTTAGTCTTAAAAATTGCCCCTATTGAAATGGAAGGAAGCTGAGATGGATTGCTGCAGAAGGCATCGACAGGACCGGAGGCGTGCGAAGGAGAAGAGGAGTTTATAAGTTAGAGCTGAAGGACAACGGAGTTGGGAGAGGGGTTGGCGGTATTCTTTTTTGCCATTTAGGCCTGTCTAGGGTTTGCTTTTCCTTATCGCCTTTTTTTCATTGCTGCTTCGGCTTCGCATGAAGTAGAGATTAATGTGAAACGGAATTTCAGGCAAGACGGTCAAAACTCCTATTTCATCCCTACAAAACTGGTGTGCGGAACTACCTCTGAAGATGTTGGTTGGGGTTAAGCTTATTCCACGAGAGGAGCTTCGTGAGGTAACGGAATGCTGTCCACTCTTTGCCCTTGAGTTTTTTTTTCTTTTGTTTTATGTAATTCTATATTTATTTTTAATTAATGTGGCGAAGCACGAGGAGCATAATTGAAGCGCAGACAAGCAGAGGATGATGAATAGGAAACAGGAGAAGCACCGCCGCGATACGTCTGATGAGAGCTCAGAGAGGGATGAGCGGCGTGCAAGAAAGTGCAGTAAGAAGATGAGGAGTGGGAGTTGGAGTTGGAGTTGCTCGGATGCTGATTCTAATTCCTCTGAGAGAGTAACCAGCAGTTATTCTGGTAAAGGGGATAAAACATCCAAATGTCAAGACAACAGTTCTCGACATGAGAGGGACGGTAGAAAAAAAAGGGATAGGGTTGGTAAAAATAATGGGAATCAAAGTGGTACTGTGGATGAGAAGAAAGGCTTAGGTACATCTTCATTAATTAGTCTTATTGGTTTTGGATTATTATTATTATTTTTTTCAATTTCGGCATTTCTATTTCTTGGCAGATGGTGATATATATTATATGATTGATCGTAATAATGGGATTTTGAGAAAGGAGATGGGTCTTCAGTGGATGCTTCGAGCTGGCAATAGTCTGCATGGTAATCCAGTACCAACTAAAATTGAGCAAGACGAGCTTCTAGTTGATGAGGTAAAATCATCCATACCAAGCACATTTATCCTATGAATTTTATGTTTTTTATATGTTGCATTTCATAACTGATAATCTTTGGCAATATTAGAATTGGTAAATTTTTTGTAGGTGTATTGGCAGGGGTGCAGGTCGGAGTACTCACAATTACCGGATGGAATAAAACAAATTACATCCATATATCTGCGCAACAAGAATTTTTATTTTGAATTTATGGGGATGGGGATTTGCTTAGCCCTACTTTTATATTATAGAATTTGAGCCGTAGAGTCCAAAGTTTGTGGTAGATACTTCATTTGTTTCTTCTTATACTAAGCTTATCCACATTTTGCTTGATGTTGTATTGCCAACTATTTGAATTGTTGATCTACTTTAAGACTTGTCTGGAAATTCTATGGAACGAACAAAAATCCTTGTTAACGATAATTACATTTTCCCACTAAGGTTTAATTGATCTAAAATGTTTGCATGAGATGGATTTATTTATTTTTGGGTTAAATTCAACTCATGATTAATGCTTACCACAAATATGCTCATGTGTGACAAGCAAAATAAATGCATCTCCAATTATAAATATAGGTTAAATCAATGTGAAGGATACCGTGCTGAATTATCTTGTAATCAATACAGAACATGAAATATTCATCATTTGCATTGCAGTGTTTTATAGACATTTTGATGAACCCAAGCAATTTTGTTGTCTCTGAGTTTAACTCTTTCCTTTATTGTTATTTCATAGGACAAATTCATCTCTACAATTGCATAGGTTATTTGAGTCATTTTATGAGACGTGCTCATATTCATTTATTTATGTTAGGTTTATTTTTGTTTGTCCTTCATTTATTAGTTTGTTATTGGGGACTCATAAGATAAATATTAAAATATTTGTTAGATCACATATGAATGAAAATTTATGTGCCATCAATTTGAAAATTTTGATCATGTGTAAGACATGAAAATTTTCGAGGATGCCATGCCCTTGTTCAAGTGTGAAACTTGAGGTTACTATTCTTCATCTTTACTCTTTACCTATGTTTTGATCCGTTTTTTCATCTAATTTAATGTTCCTTATTATTAATTTACATTTTTAATTGATGCAACACACAAAGCCCTAAATCAATTTCAAAGTTGTATTAGATCTTTGATTTTGTAGCTTATTATATGCAGGATTGCTAAGCCAAATTCAATGATATTAAGGTTTTCTTGAATCCTTTCATCTTCTTTAATTTTTTATGCTTATGTTACATTTTTTTTTTCTCTCACGCATACACACGCCTGATTTCATTATTTTTCTGCCAACTGTCTACTCTTGGACCGCTCTTTATATTTGCCTCCCGTAACTTCCTACAACTTATACAACACATCACTCTTTTTTTTTTTTCGAAAACTTATTAATAGCACTCTCAATTTCAGTCCCAAAATCATCATCTACCAAAATCTCTTAAAATTCAAATACCCAACATATTCTGAAACAACTTTATACCCTCAGAATCCTCAACCATGTAATTCAAAACTAAAAAAACATCCAAGCAACTTACCTTGACCAATTATATTTAAATTGAAATTGGAAACAATAATCCAGACACTCACTCCTAAGCATACATCTGAAGACCTGGAGCAATCAACCCTTTCAATAGTTCCTTGAATCTTTTTTTTCCAGAAAAAAATAAAGCTAGAGGGAAAAAAGTGAAGAAGAAAGGATGCATTAGGTCCGTAAGTGGCTTCCTTCCAAAATATCAAATTTCTTTTATGTACATGGTTGTTCATCTTCTTGTGTTGTCCTCTTTTTATGCTCAAATGATTCATATATTTTTCTTAAAGACATTAATTTGAAGTTAAAATTCAACAATCGTCACCATTCCTCATTGATTGAAGTGTTAGATCTTGACTTCAAAGTTTAGATTATAAAGTTATGTTGATTGAAAAATCTTATAGCATGCTTAAAACAATGCTTATGAAGTTCTATTGAAATAATGTTAATTTTATTGCATAAATTACGTATTATTTTGTCACATTAACAAGAACAATATTTAGAGAGCAACTCTGCCAACCGCTTGATAAAAAACTAGAAAAGAAGAAATTTTATTGTTTTCTTGATATTTTTATGAATTGCTTTGCTCGCTTATGAAAATTTGTCTTTTAATGAACTTATTTAGCTTTAATATGTATACAGTCACTTTTTGAAATGTTTTGCTAGTTGCATCTTTTTGCATTTTTTCATAATAGTTTTCATATTTCATTTTATGAAAACAACTTGAAAATTTGAAGAATGTATGGTAGATCATATGCATAATCAGCATATTCTCTAACATTGGTGCTATGCATCCCCAAATATTTACAAGGTAAATCTTGTTGACATAGATTATCCATCTTATCAACATCAACAAAGAAATCATAGGGATTATCATACTTTTTGTTATGATTATTAGATGATATTTACAAGAATTCTATGAATTTAAGGATATTATCTCTACTTTCAATGAGAGATTTAATCTTGATGTATTTTCTAATTGTATAAATATCTTACAAAGTTTTTTTTTTCGTTAAAGCTACCAAAACGAATGTTGACTCAGAAAGTGCGTTGTCAATTTTGTTATGAGAACCAATCTAGACCAAAGCATCTTGTTATATCGATGGGAAACGTCACTTACATGACGCTTCCACCATGGGAACCTATTTTACAAGGCCATTGTTGCATTCTGCCGTTGCAGGTAAGTTTCCCTTGCAACTTTTCGGTTTAGTTTTTCCCTTGTCTTTTCCCCATATGTTACCGTAACAGATCATATTTAGTCGCTATCAATATAAGTTAGAAGTGTATGCTTGCATGTGCAGATTACCTTTTCTAGTACATCAGGTTTAACCTTTTTTGCAAGGGCTCAACCAATATTTGTCATGATTATTTTCCTAGTGCATGAAAGCTTTACTTTTTTTGGTATGTTGAAAAGTTATTATGCTTGATAGTTTTGAAACCGTTTAATACAAATTTTTATCTAAATTTTTTATCATAAATTTATGCAGATAATAAAAAAATCTAAGTCATGTTATATTAGGTTCTGACTTGCATTATTTCTTTTAGTACTTGCATTGAGTTTTAATCTAGCATTTATTTTTTATTAATCTGTCAGTAAGCATCAAAATGATCACCGATAACAAAGCTCTTATGCTGGTTTTCCTTCCATGCAGCATGAATCAGCTACCAGGACCATTAACACAAATGTCTGGGAAGAAATTCGAAACTTTAAGAAGTGTCTCTTGAAAATGTTCTCTAGGCAAGACAAGGATGTCATCTTTCTTGAGACTGTTATTGGATTATCTAGGCAACGTCGGCATTGCTTAATTGAGTGCATACCTATACCTTCTCAAATTGCGAAGCAAGCTCCATTGTATTTCAAAAAGGTATGTTTGCAAAAGTGTTGTTTGGAAATTTTTTTTTCTTGTTCATCATGTTATAATTGTGATTGCTTCAGTGTAGTTTTCATTTGTAACTGAACTTTATTATAAATATAAGGTTTTCATTAGAAAAATAGTTGAACAAGTACCATCTTATGCTCACTTGTAACGTAATGGCCTTGGGGAGAGTTTTAATGGATTATGTTCTGGAGAAAATTTTGTGAAAGGTAGATTACCTAAAGATTTCTCCCTCATATGCGGAGACTTTAAATAATGCATACCTTTTTTGTGATGTTTATCACTGTGTATCATCATTTAATATGTATTATACGTTCTCTGATTCATTTGAATGTTTTTGCAGGCTATTGATGAGGCTGAGGATGAGTGGGGGCAGCATGACATGAAGAAGGTCATACCAACTAGTGGGAACTTGCGGAATGTTATCCCTGAAAACTTCTCCTACTTTCATGTTGAATTTGGGCTGGATAGAGGTTTTGTCCATGTCATTGATGATGATAGCAACTTACCTAGTAGCTTTGGCTTGAATGTAATTCGAGGCATGCTACACCTCCCTGTGGAGACCATACACCATCATCACAGAAGAGAACCAGCTGAGAAACAGAAACAAGCCGTTGCCACCTTTGTCCAGGAATGGGAGCCCTTTGATTGGACCAGGGAGCTTGATTGATTTGTACAGTTTACCCCCTAGCTTTGGGCCAAGCTGTAGGTTTAGATGCTCTCCTTAAGGTATACATTGTTATATCATCATTTTTCTCATATATTCATTTATTTTTATTTTGTAAATTGTTTGAAAATACAATTTTCATGTCAGTTAGGACATGCTTATCATTATATTATGTCAATGCCATGGAGCTTGTGCTACTACTCATTTTTAGTTATTGAATTATGGCATCACATTCATTTTTCGCTTATGTTGTCAGAATCATATATGACTGCAACGCACAAGTTAAACAGAAATGATTTTTTTTTTTGGGGGGTATCTGAAGTCTTGAAACAGAAAGTTATTTAATAAAACCATCTGATTATTGAAGCAATCATACAAGCTCAATCATGGCACTCAAAATAAGACATGAAATTTCAAAATCACCCAAATTATCCAAATCAACTTTTTTCCTGCATCAAAATTCAAGATAAAAATTCTACTACAATTTATCTTACATTATTGTAAGACTTAGGCTTCGTTTGGAACGGCTTTCTTCCTGCTTCATAAAACTGCTTTCTAGTAAAAAAAATAAAATTTTTATACTAAAAAGCCGCTTTAAAAAGCAATAAGAAAGCCGTCCCAAACATAACCTTAGAAGATTGTCAAAGGGCACAATAACCATTCAAATTATCATATAATCTCCTATATTTATCTTTTTAATGCTTAACACCCATTGCTAAAAAAGAATATTCAAGGCCCTTCCTTTAATATTCTCCTATATTTATCTTCGAAGTTAACTTTTAATCTGATTATTCTCATATGGCTATTTGAAGAAAATTTTCTGCTCTTGAATCTAAATCTCGATCAACTTATTTCTCATTTTAACGCACATTTAAAAGGTTCCAATCACTCCTAGAACTCAATCTTCCATAAAAAAATTGGCAAAAGAAATCATCATCCTTTAGTGGAAGGAAAGGAGTTTCAAGTACTTTTAAATAGAGCAAGTTAGGCTTGCCATGTTGATTGAAATTCTAAAGCACATCCCACACTCGTTTCATCTAGTATAAGTTATAACGTTGAATCAATGCACCAATGTTAATCAAACAAGTTTGGTGGGAATATGTCAATTACTTCCTGCAGTCTTAGTGTAGTTGTTCCTCTTGAGTCTCAATGCAATTATTCCTCTTGGGGCACTCCGTATCTTCTCATGAATCACCCACCCTCTCTAAAGCCTTTGAGTACTCTTAGCAGAAAAAGAATCCCACTTGGATATCGTTAAGGCTATAATGACCATCTCATTAATGAACCTAATCATGCCAAATCTATCTTTTCGGATAGTAATCACATCAGATCTACATTTACATGGTATGAAAGGCATACCTCATCTACTGCTCATATGTGATAGGGGTGTCAAAATGGGTCAACAGGTCGGGTTTAGGTTCAACCCGAATTGACTCTGGTCCAAACAAGTTGACCCTAACCCAACCTAATTTTTCAAGTGGGTCAAGAATTCCAGTTCGGACCCGACTCGTATTGGTTACTGGATTGACCTAACTCGACCTGACCTGCTAACTCAGGTTCTAAATCTTGATGTAGGGCGAATACACAGACTCACGAAGTCCATATGCGAACTGAGGGTTGATACACGGAGACGAGCATAATCCGGTGGCTCCCTAGCGTGAGATCAACGTGCGAGAGAGATCGGGTGCCTACAGAACATGATTGAGGTTGCGCCAACGCACCAATGCGGAATCGAGTCCGGTGTAGGATTTAGGGTGGAGTCCGGATGGACTCGAATTGCAAGCGCACGCTCATGCTGCAAGCTACATAGGGCAGACTGGCAGAGTCTGGGTGCCTCGGGTCTATTTGACTTGATTTTAGGTTTTTGGGTCAACTTGAAGTCGACATGGTTTTATAAATGGGTCAGAATAATAATCTCGAACCCGAACCTGACCCGAATGGTAAACGAGTTGACCCGAACCTGAAATTTTTCAGGTCGGGATCGGGTTGTGTCAAGTTTTGACACCCCTAATATATGACAACTACTTTACAACAACAAGCACTCTCCTTTAAGTACTTCTCATCCATATATATTGATTAAAGATAGAGTATTTACTTATTGATTTATTCAAATAACGTATTGTGGGCTTTAAAAATTCACGCCCCATCCTCTCTATGACCCCTTTTTTTTATCTGGTTATCAAAGTAAGTTTTAACAAATATGTTATGAGGTAAAATTTTAAAAGATAGATTGGGTTTTGAATATGACATTACCAAGAGATTTCACCCTCATTTTGTGAGGACTTTATAATCTGACTTTAGGTTTCCTATAAGCGTGAGCCCCTATGGTTAATTACCCCTCGATATCGTAAGAGAACTTTCGATTAAGGCTAGTTATCAAATAGATACAGAGTATCTAGCATATAGTAACAGTATGTTTAGGCATTTAAAATTTAACTGTTAAAAATAAAAATTCACCACCTTGCACTTGAAGCAGATGGTTGGGGGGTGATGATAAACCTGATCAAGATCTCATGGTTCCATCATCCCAAGTCAACGTGGTCCCTAGTCTACTTTATTAGAGGAGGTAGTTGACCCAACCTGACAGAAGGATTCTTATCGACAACCCTGGTTTGCTTCATCCAAGGGTACTTTATAGACATGAGGTGAATATTTGCATCAGGTGATATATTCAAATCCACCTTAGCTAATAGAGGGATTTATGCCCTATCAATTATATCCTATTGATTCATTACTCAAGAATTTGAAGCATCAGATAACATACGGGCTCTGACCATGACCTTAGTTTAATAGTGCCATTTGGCGACAAAACCATCCAATTAGAGGATCTTGGTCATAACCCTTTACATGTGGTGCCATTTGGCGGCAAAACTACTATTTAGAGGACACATATCATGTCCTTACTGGCGTCAAAAATACAAATGTTGCGATCCAATGGCGTGTTTAGTAACTTGTTGAGCTTCATTTTTTATGCATTAACAGTGCATATTTGTTCATTTTATATTTTGCATCTTGTCATTTTCTTCAGTACTCAGCTAACAGAAGTGTATTTCAACCTGCAAACAAGCTGTGCGATGTGTTAGGAGCTTTCTACTAGTGCTTTGTAGATTTTAACTACAAACTTTTTTGCTTATGCTTGCAGGTGAATTATAGTACTAGGCTATGTGTCATTTGATGTTTCATATAGGTAGACTATCGTGCAATATAGGCCTTGTTAGCATTGCTTGTAGTCCAGTGTTAAGCATTCATGATTCACCAATTATTGCAAATAAGTGGACTATTGTTGCTTGCAAGTGTGACTATGGATCATTTGATGCTTGCTGCATGACAAGCTTCTTACAATTGCTCATAGGAGCTCATATTTATCATAAGCTTGTTGCTTTTGACGGTAGATAGCATGACATGCTCATTGCAATCTTCTTATCCATGCTCAAAAGATACTCATCACATTGGTTGCATGTTACTTTCTTAGCTTGTAGGAGAATTGTTGTGTGCATGACAAATCTCCTATAGTGGCTTGTAGGCATTTGCATTTATTGTGTATTGACTGTCTCTACTTGCAAGAAATTACTGCATTTGCTTGACATTGAATTATTGTTGACTGTAGAAATGTCCTAGCATTTACTACATGTTATTCATCATCACCCATATGTGGATTACTGTATGCATGAAAAGACTTATGTTATTGCCTCTCTAACTTGTAGGCAAGAGGTTGTATACATGATGAGTCTCTTATAGTGGCTCATAGGAGCTCGCATGTAATACAAGTATGTTGTCCTTGCTTGTGGACAATATGTTGTAAGCATTGGTTTTTTTATAGATAGTGCATCTTGGTCATTGAAGTCCTCTTATTTATGCTTGTAAGATATTCATAATATTCATCGTACTTTTCTTTTCATTATTTGCAGAGGTTCGATGTGTTTTCTTGAAAGTTAATGTTGACTATGGGGAAGTTGTTATAGTCATTATGTCTCCCATGCTTCGTTCATGAATATATCATTGCTTTTGTTGCCGTCTCCTTGGATATGTTTGTAGTATAGCTATCATACCCACAACACATCTAGCATTATCGTTTCCAAATAATATAGTATGTTTATTTGCATATTATTATTGACCGTCGATCAAGCTGTATTTATCGCTAATTGGTAATGTGTGTTGATCGAGCTGAATTCATCTACGCACACTGATTGGAAAGTTGCTACATCTACTTGCATAATGGTTTTGTGTTCATAGGAGATTCTTGCTGCATATGCAAACCCATTAACTTTGATTGAAGGGAAACTATTAAATTCCTAGCTTATATGTTGTCATTGCTCACAAGCCGATTAGTGTGTTCATTTGCAAGTTGTTTGATGTTAAACGTATATCTAAGTTCACAGAGGACCCATCACACTTATAGTGTATCCATCATTGCTACTTGCAAGTAGATTGGTTTATTTTTTGTAGTTAAGTGATATTGACTATGTGCAAGTTGCAATTATTTTTGAACTTGTAAAATTTACCTTCATTAGCAATTCTTTACATATCGACCTCTAATGCTCATGAGATTTGATGTGCTTGATTGTATGTTGATATTGACCGCAAGGTGTTATATTTGTTGCACACCTTCTACATTGTGTTTATGAACATGTTGAACTCATTTTTGTATGAGGTCACTTGGATCAATTCTGACCCCAAATCAGTTCAATCTCCAAACCAATCTAAACTCTAGGATTCTCCTAGATCCAGACCTTAGGATCTACTTAGATCTTAGAAATCCAAACCAAATTCAATGCTAAAAGGCCAAGTCCTAAAACCCTTTTCCAGTGAATTTTCAAACACTTCAAAAATGAATCAAATGACCTCTGATTCAGAGTCTGTCAGTTGTATACTGATGGGACATGTCTCTGGAGGTAACCCTCCAAATTTGAGCTCATTATGAGGTCTTTAACCCCATAAACTAAATCAAAATCCAAAGGTTGTAAAACCTTCAAATATTTATAGTTATGCCACTGGACCTGTCACCTAGAAGATTATGACCTTAGAGCCTTCACCAAAACCTCTAGTCACTTCCAGACCATTAATCCTGATATGTTGAATAATAAACTATATTTTTCTGGACTCATCTCAACCTATAATGGGCATGAGCCCAAAATGACCAAAATACTCCTATGGGGCTCAAATAGTGATTTCAAATCAAATGAACCCCAAATTAAATGCAACCACCTCCAGCAAGTTTCAAATGTCATTTCAAACCTGTTG